TCATACTAAACGACACAAGAGTTTTATCAGAATATTCTATACGCTCTACTAAATTCAAAAATTGAAATTCTGATTTCAACGAAAAATAAAAAAGAAAGATATAAAAATGTCTCGAGAAGAGTTTCTATTCGAGCTGGACACCTAACTAAGAGGCCCTGTTCGTTTCGCGAGAGAAAGAGAGAGAAAGAGAGAGCGCAACAACAACGATCGTCATTACGCTTTCATTCCGCGGCCGGTTCACCCACGACCAAGAAAATTGAAAATGCACAGATAAACACGCCGGCTGGCTCGCTGACTTTGAGGAATAATAACGCGAAATGATCGTCAGCGGCTATAGGTCATTAATGTTTTACGAGCACGTAGCTGCAGCACAGCTGCGTCCGTTCAATTACAACTAACAGGCAGAGAGCCACGAATGCCCCCCCCCTTTCTCTCTTTCTCTCCTCTCCAGAGAAACGTTTCCACAGAGGCCAGCATAGCGATACTACGCGTTTATGTCCATTAATATTATCGGCTCGAAACAACGATAATAGCGAAGAACTATAGGGATCCGGAGGTGTTTTCCTTGACCATGCCGACTGAACGCTCCACCGTGTGGTCTCTGACCCTTATACCGCGCAATCAGATACGCGTTGCTGCTCGATCCGTTCTCGTTCCGTCAATTGGACGTTGCCAATGATTGGTAACCGATACGCGTATAGCGTTACCGAATTTTGGATAAATCGTCTGCCAAATGGAAGAACCTCGTGGAATCGTTTTCGCGCGAACGAGATACATATATTTATACGGGGACGTGATCGAAACTTTCGGGTTCGAGAATTCATTACAGGGTAAAGAGCGATCGTCGTAGATTGTTTTTCCCTGCTACCGATCGAGACTACCCTTCACGTCGTGTAATATTGGTGCAACAGCCGTTCCAGATACAATCTTTAATGATTCCTTCACTTTTTGATGCGTGTTTCCCAAGGACATCTTCGACTTTTCCTGTCTGATATCGCAATCTCGTAAAATGGACTTTGCAGATGGCGAGCGTGCAAGTACTTTACAGTTTTTAATACTTTCAATTCGTTGTTATCTTCGATAACATTTTGTATGTAATATCAAATATATATATTCCAATGTATATAATGCAAGTATTCAACACGTGTTGAATAATTTATATAATTTTACATAATTCTAATATGAAAAATTATATAAATGTATCAAATATCCAAGCCTGTATATTTGATACATTCAACACACGTTGGATAATTTATATAATTTCACATTAGAATTTCACATCATTCACGATTCATAATTTCGTAATTTCATATTTTCATGCAATTCATGCAACTCCAATAGAGAAGAACTAATAATTAAATCTCCATATAATAACTAAATTCAATTAACATGCTTTCATCGCATTAAGTAACTCTTAAGAGAATTCGTTCGCATTATATTGTTCAAATATCATGAAATACTAATCATCAGGCCAATTTTCCAACGTTTAACCGCGACTATAAAACTCCTCGTTTCACTTTCAATTTCCACACGCGATCGTTCCGTTATTAATATTCAATTTCGCGTCGGATTAATCCACCATTTCTGAACCATCGCCTTATCAAACTCTCCATTACGAAACGCATTTGTAATTAACTTATGAAAGAATTTAGTCGTCCAACAATCGAGCAGGATAAATAAACTGGATAATTAAATCGCACTAACATTCGGACACTAAATATTTATTATGTCGTAATGTTTGAAAAACTGAATACTAAAAAAAATATTTCAATTGAATTTAATTCAATATTAAACTTTCAATATCAAATTTTTTAAACTAAATTTAATTCAATATTAAAAGAATTCGAAATTCAACATTAAATCCACGGTCAATAAATTAATACAGATTTCTGAATTATTCACCAATCCGAGAAAGAAGAAAGTTTCATGCATCTAACGATAAAATCTTATGTTTCAATAAATGTAGGTACTACAACCAGCACCAATGTTCAAAACAATCAGTTCGTAATTTTTTTTTTTCAAAGAAATTTTCCGAATCTATGATCTACGTACATTTTTCAGAGATCTGAACTATTTTCTATAAAATGAAAAATCCTTCATTGTATAACCTAAATCGTAAATTGTTCTCAAGCTTTACATATATTGTTGTTCCGGTAAAAGTCGAAGCAATATGAAATATCGTAATTTAAGTGAGAATTGCAATAGAAAATCGCACTACTTTTACATAACTCTCGAAATCTTAGTGATATCTGCAATAGAATCCGACACTCTCTCAAAAACATCAAATTCTACGTCGGAACAGCGATAAGTCCATACCAAAAATATCCAAGTGAAAAAAATTGAAATGGAAATCAACAGAGAACGACAGAGAAAATATTTAATGAAATCTAACGGCAAAAGCTCAAATTTTACTTTACTCTCATTCCCGAAACGGACGCAAAAAATCTTTCAGTCGTCTGTAGTTTCAGTGTCAACGTGCCTGCCGATTTTCGTGCCTGTTCTAGACCCGTTCGACGGATAACCGGACTAATCTGAAGGAAGGATCGACGAAATCGCAAGTAACAACCTGAGAACTCGGTGCCGGCGATCATCCGCGTTCGTTCGCCGTGGATTCTGTGCAAACAGTGAATCGCAAGGACGCGATAGGCCAGGTAGTATCGATCGAGACAACGGGGCGCTATTGCGGCCCGGTAATCTTGGTCCCCAGGTGCATATTTCAAGATCGGCATGCGTGAACGATCTCATGGCCGTCGGGTTGCCTTGCGGTCGTGTAACTCACCTTTACAACGTTAATGCGATGGCCACGACGAGCCGCGGCCCTATCATATTTCGCGAGGCCCCTGTGCTCGCCCGATCGACGGAGCCGTGTTTTAATATGCAAATTAAAATGCAAATAATCCGCCTACCCTTTCCTCCTGCAGCGTCCTCCCGTTTCACCCTCGTCCGGCCTTCGCCTAAGCCATCGCTAGTCGCCATCTCTCCCTCACGGTGGAATAGTTTTCGGCCATCTTCTTGGCCTCGTCTTCCTTCTCCTTTCCCGCGTGTCTCCGTGAATCTAGACAGGGCAGAAATTATTCTGATTAACACATTGGTGAGATCTCTTAATTTCCATTGAAAATTATTACTACGGAGTAAGACTCCGTTTGTTATATTTTATGTAACGTCGCGGTATTAGAGGTTAGGTTAGGTTAAGGAAAATTAACTATTTGAGTGCTTGAGTAGATAGTAGAGAATATCGTAGAGATAATGTCAGATTCGTGAAGTAATTAGTTTGTTTATTACAAACTAAACATCAAAGAGGATTACAAACATATTAGAAGGTAATATGTTTGAAGATAAATGTGTTCTTGATTTATTACATTCTCTTCGTTCGGTATTACATCAAAGAATTACTTCTAAATTCTAAATATAAGTCAGAATCAATCAAGTCAGAAAATGAATAAAATTATTAATTTTTAATTATTTGCACTGTACGCCATTTTTATTCTGCGAGAATATTTATGTGAGAATTTGATTTCTATTTATTATATAATAAAATACACCGTCACTTGAAATTTAGTTCCATTAGAAAATAATTCAACAAATGAACCGAAATTAATCTTACAAAACCTAATATGCTATCAAAAGTTAATTTATTTTACGAGATAACTTAAAATAATTCATGCATCATAAAGAACTCCATGTTCTAGAAACCCAGTAATCATTTTTATGATTTATATTGAATGCCTTTTCATAAAATTGTATTTCATAAATTTTATGATACATAATACTTCGTTATTACATTTTTTAATGCCTTCATTTCATACGAATGCACACTTCAATTTTATACAAATCTAAAATATGTATAGTACTGTTATTTTTTTTCATCGGTACCCTTCCTCATAAAATTATATTAACTGATACCTTTTTTTCTTTTCCTTTCGTACTCTAAATTATTTATCATTATTATTATTCATTATCATCGCTTGCTGCAACTATTTTAAATGCATCATGATTCATCTATTCGACGAGGATAATATCTCGAAATGATATGCCTGACGATTAAACGCGAGCCGAGATTGTATTCACGATTAATTGTCACGGTCGCGTTTATTACCACGTGAGCCCAACGTCGTAAGCAAATTAATAACAGCACGGAAGAATAATGACATAGAAATTAGAGTGAGAGCGTGATGGAGAGAAATGAGAAGCAGCCTAGATAAATACGCGTTCACAGCAGCTAATAGTCTTACTGCGCCATTTTTTTTATTTGTAAATTGACTGTTTCCAATAAAATGTGTTCGCCTACAATTACAATCCCTTAATACCATAACTAATAAGATCTAGTACTAACGCAACGGATTAAATTTGTGTAACTAAGATACGCAGAGAGAGA